TTTCTTTCTTCTCTCTCTTCTCTCTCTCTCTCTCTCTCTCTCTCTCTCTCTTCTGAAAAATTGAAGAGAGACTACATTTCTTCTACATTTGAATGCTACATTTGGAACATTTATTGAACCACTTGTTTATCATAGGATTACTATTTATATGTCCAATTTACAATGGTATGAAACATCGGATAAGTCGAATTGTATTTGGCACGTAGCTCGCAACGCATATAGCCGGATGTTGAATTGAAGGTCTATATCTCTAATTAGGATACACAAATAACGCAATCTTTGGCTGTCGTCGTAGATATATCTGACACGACCGAAAAAGACATCAAATGTATCATTCTCAAATATCACTATATGGATTACATATAAAAACAATTTAATATTTTTATAGCAAAAAATGCACTGCACGCTTGTTAGTTTAATAGAAATGCAAAAGAAACGTTTAATAGAAATTCAATTAATAATTAATCTCTTCAATTAAAAGAGATCAAATAATCCTTGATAAAATTTTAATTTTGTACATTCTTATGAGAAGATGAAATATATTTCCTAAAATATAAATTATCCCGATACGCATTTATACTCTTTGTTACATTACTTCCACTTTATCTTGTATTTTAAATTAAAAACCAAGCGCACAGTACAAAAAGTTTCAGTCAAATTTCATTTAATAATATTGAAATTATTAACAAAATTATATATAAATTAATGATAATTAAATTTTTTACTTCACAGACTACTTTTTCGTGTGGAAACACCTTTCTCAGTTATATTTAAATTATAATACTCTATAATTTATCTTTTCTTCACCCTTTTTTTCGATCGCACTGCTGCTGGCTTTTTAAGAATACCTCTTCAAACACGGAGATCAAAAAAAATTATTCTTGTAATTTGCAGTTGCTGCAAAACTGACCGCTACGTGTAACTGAAGAGAAATGAATATCGACCGTCACGAGACTTACTAGTTTACAAAAGACGGCGGCGTCTGAAAAATCGGTCAGTTCTGGCGGATGAGCGCAGGCCGACGTTCTCAGCCTAGTCCAATCTCCCTCTCATCCACGTTGGGCGTTCGCCCTCTCCCGATGACGGAGGTTGGGATAGGTCGAAACGCAAACGTTACTACGGCACGAATGCATGACGCTCTACGTGCGTAGAGCGCGCACCATCACCGGCCACTCGCGTAACACGCGATCTCGCACACGAACACAATTATTATTCACGACCGATTCTTGTCGAGGACCCCGATGCGGATCGTCGTCAGCGCCGCGACGAGAGCGGATCGTATCGTTGGGAAAATCTATCATGGCCGTTTAATTGACGATTGTTGAGACCAAGTGGCTATAATCGATTCTACAATCGACATTCTTCATAGAATTCGCAAAATAATTCCGTCCTTATTTCTGCAAAATAGATATAAGAAGGATACTTGGAGCAATGGAGGTTTAATTTAAAGTGTGACGAACTGTTTGGTATCTAAATCACGTATATTAATCGGTTTTAATTAATTTACTTATTGCATATTATAAACATACGATATAAATGATCAGAATTAATAAATTGTGTAATTTTGTTAAATTTATTGCATCTAATGTCCTGTTGTAGATTTATTTGTTACTCTACTCTCTCATATCGTTACTCTTGTGTGTTTATATCATAAGAAGGGATTAAAATATGCAAGACTAGAATAACTCTCTTCTCTTTTTTTTCTTTTCTATTTCTTTCAAACATTTTGGGATTCTCTGGCACAGAATACACATCGCTACGTCAGAAAACTGAAATTTTAGTTATGAACCGTCTGACCTTTGACCTACTTAACGAACTAAGAGCTAAAATTTCAACTGAGGTAGCTAAGCGTGCAGATTCGCAGATCGTAATCTAATAAAGAGGAAATATCTAAAAGTAATGATTATACCATAAGATGTATTATCATTTCTAGAATACTGTCTCCGCAATCGCATACATTTCAAAATGTTATCTGCAGGAAAATGGCAAAGTCGGAAAAGCAAAATTTAATTAAACACGTCAATATTGTATATAATACATCATAATAATTATCCTATGAGTCGATGATAAATAACTTTATAAATTATAATTGCTAAAATTATACCGAATTGCACAGCAATCGCAGTCTGATTTCGTTCATAATAATCACATCTGAGAATAGACAAAGAAAATCCGCAGCGAGACGCAACAAAGACGTACTTCGGTTCGTAACACTGAGAAAGAACGGGAGCGAACGGTAACGTTCGCAACAAAGTGCATACGCGTCGACTACCCGATAAAATAAACAGCCTGTCGCGTTAAGCTACTGCAAGCCGGAAA